AGGCAAAGAAGAGGATTATTATAGCTGCTGGGGAAATTGTTCCCGGTTATTAAGGGGAAACAGGGTTCCCGCTACGTCATGACGATAAGGAATATTTAAAACTCAAGGCATTCCCTTGATACCATTAGTATTTAGTGAAAGATGTCAGCAACAAAATGGAGTCACATGTGTTAAAAGCCTGGCAAATCGAGTTGGGGAAGGCCACAAAGGGAAGGGTTTTCATGCATAGATGCCTGGTAACAGGAACTGTCACAAAGGGCTCTGCAAAACCACAATCTTGCACAAAGGCCATCACAACCCTACACCAAAAAATACTTCTTGTGAGGTCAACGCTCAGCAACTGTCTGTCCAACCTTGGAGTGGCATCACCCATTATTCATCCTTGAAGCCAAGGATAATTATCAAAAAAACTATTATGTAATCCATCATATTTCCTTTAAAAACTTTTGTCTTCCTTTACCTCCTTGAATATGCACATAGTTTACTATGGCTCACATTTTCCCAAATAAATATTCTTTTTTAGTCTCTTATTATTTAGAATGACAGTTTACATGTGCAGACATAAAAGTTAAAGAAGACACCACCACCAGTGTAGGCAGGAGCAGGGTCACATGCTAATGTCATCAATAAGTCTTGAATCTGTTTTCATACCATGTTAACATGTGTCTTAATCCATATCCTATTTCCTCTGTAAGGAAGAAAGTTGGACAAATACCAACTTTAACCTTGTGAACAGTTGCAAAAATGAAGATTGTAATAACTGCATATTTCACTCCTTGCACTGTTATGAATATATTAGTATATTAACATTAGCAAATTGATTTTATCATCAGCCACAAATTCCTCCCCCCGCCTTCCATTTTATATAAGACGTGTTAACTTTTAATTTTTGGCTTTAGGTTACAGGCTATCAAAGGAGAATTGCAACTGAACTAGAAATGAATATGGTGACTTGAGGGACTTTGGATCTCCATTTGGGAACAAATGATAGCATGTTCATTTGTATGTTTTCCATTTGTGTCAAACATACTGAATCATTGAAAATGAAAACTCTTGTAATGATTCTTGTACAATGTTCGAAGGTTTATTGTTGAAGTATAATTCGGGGATGGCATTTATCCAGGTAGAGGAGAGACTATAAATTCTTTCTGGGATAGAAATTGGAGAAACTGCATAAGGGTGTAGACACCCTTAAAGCCTAGAGGCTGTAGACACCAGGCCTAGGGATAAGGACCCATCAAGAGTGAA